TCATGGCCACGTTGTGTAACATGATATCACGTTATTGTATATACTTAATTATTTCTCGTTACTTTCAAGAATTGTTTTAACTCGTGACTCGTGTGACAAAAATAAGTCTGCAAATAATCTATGCAAGGTTGCAAAGTTGATAATTACGATATTCTTATCATTTCATTGAAGATAAAGGTACTTCTACTGTTCTTTAAATGCAATTTTATGCAAACAATAAAATGGCCATGTCAAACAAACTATAAATATCGTTTTTAATTTAATTTTCCACAGATTATTTGTGCTTCGTTTCAACGAAGCGCCAAATCATCGATTCGCCTGGGGCGTTCGTTCATTTGGGCCTGTTCCTTTCGTAAAATCCAGTTATTCATTCCTATAATAAACTGTCATATTCATGCATCTCCAATGACGTAATGACAATGGAGAACAAGTTTCAATTGCAAACACAGGTCCCGTAAAAGGAGTTCCTCGATTTGCACCATGCAAATTATATATAAGACATTCTTCAGTTATCTTTAAAATTCATGGTATGTAGTTTTCAAAATAAAATCTTCTCTAGGTCTCGAATGCAATTACTAATATGAATTAATATTTAAATTCAAAATCAATTGATTACCATTGATAATTAATATAAACTATACTATTCTCTTACTTTATTTTTCCTTTTAATGTAAATTTACGTACATTATTAACTTAAATTTTAATTTAAACTTATTCATTGTTAATTAAAAAAATTGCAACAGGTTTATAGATAGATAATTGCAGGAAGATGATTAGAATTATAATAGATAGTATCGTTGAGAAGTGAAAAAATTAGAGCAAATGAACGATCACATGATGATTATTTCTATAAGAGAGTTTAAAAATTAATTAAACTCCTTAATTGGTGATGTTCTTGTATGCAATTAATTCGCCCGACAACGACCCGGCAACTTTTACCGTTTCTGATCCTTGCCGATTGTTCTTAAAGTGTGAAAGTCTTAAACGATTTCGTTTGGGCGCACATGCACGCAGTCGCGTGAAACTCTTCAAGTGCCCCTAACAGTACCTGGAAAGAAAGGAAAAGGAACAACGGCCGGAAGTGTCGCGCGTCGGCCATGATGCGGGACTCGTGCCTTCCTTTTATCGCGAGATAAGAGGAACAGCATTTACCATGCGTTGCGGGTACACTAATGGAAGGAGCCGGAAGTTGGTATGGTCACGATCGAAAACGTGCCACGCGCGAATGCAAAATGTCATTTGAATATAAAGAGTTCTGTTATGTGACCTGTTGAAGGTCCGTTTTGTCACAACTGATGGCCTATTTCGCGTGTTGTAGAATTAATTTGCGAAGAATAAATCCGTTGATGATCTAAATAGGACTGTTAAAATGGTACTGCGAGTTATTTCGATGGTTTAGAGGGAGGAAATCGATGGCCTAATATTGGCTTTTTACATCGTGAGTGACAACTGTTTCTATGTCAAAGAAATGAGGTATATTAATAAAAGAGATCTCTTGAAAAACCTGTAATGTAAGATTTCAGGTTTGAAAAGCACGATAAATCACACGACCCCAGTGTATATTTACGGATCATGCAAAAGTAAAAGGTATTCCAGTAAATTTTCAATTTAGAAACACTTGAGAATATGTAAGTACAGACTTTCTATTGAAGTTCTCCGAGCCTCTATTTGCAATAATGGAATTTTTATTTTCGGTGAAAACATTGGGATGCAAGGTTAAGAGGCTTGTGTACTAAGGCAAAAGTAGAAAAGTGGTAAAATTATCACCGAAGAGGTAAATTTACGAGCGATGTGTGCTACTGGTTGGCAATGGTTCTAGAAAATGAAAAGAGCCGAGCCAATGATTTCAACCGATCCAGTGAAAAGCTGTCCTTCTTCTTCGGCAAACCGGGTAGCCGACAAAAGGCTAACCGGTTTCCGGAAATGGGATAATTTCTTTATTATACCCATCAGCGCGCACGATCTTTTTTTACAGGTACAAGTTTGTGCATGACCCCGCGGCGTCTAACTACCATTCGAGAATAAAGCAACCAAGGTTAAAAATTTGCATGCTCTTTGCTCATCATCAAATGAGCTTCCTACGCAGTGTTCCATTTTCATAAATAATCTTGAAATCTCGAAAAATTGTATGATAAGATTTCTAAAGAGAAGTATTATCATAAAATGTTTTAATTAATAAAGAATTGTTTGAATTTGACAAATTTTTAATAACGTAATAAGTTATTTTGTGATAGAGATTATTATAATGTTATTATAAGAGTATTTTCTTTAATATAACTTTCAAATCTTCAGATGAACTTTGAATTTCTTTTAAATAAGATTCAGTGACTTTTAAATAACCTTCAAATTATAGTAACATTTATATATCCTTTCCATAATTCTTTGATGATCTTCAAATATCCTTATAATAATATGAAACTGATCTTGATTTTTACTTATTAATAGATTATATCTTCTATCATTTACAAATAACTTTTAAAAAATCACAAGTTTTTCAATTAATAATCCTTATTGTGCTATCATCTTATTTTTCAAGAAATATTTTTTTTTGCAATCACTCTAAATAGAGTAATCTATATATATCAAATTTCAAATATCTATTCGTTATTTAGCTAAATTATAAAATGAAGTCGTTATTTAAGAAAAGATGAGAAACAATATATATCAGATAAATTCAATCTTGTTACAATATTCTCACTGAGACTCGATTCCATAGTAATCATCAGGAAGATGAAAAATTAAAAAAACGAAATTTTGTTTTATTCAGTTGGATGAATATTTTTGGTGGATGCGTCAGAACATGCTAGCCGGCCTCTCGTTAAAACGGCGTACGACTTTTCACAATGGAATCGGCGCGAAGGTGAACACGGACGAACACCTCGAAGGCCCTTTTTCCTTTGACTCATGAGATGACGTTGTTCCCTCGGTGAACGAACGCGACCCCATTTCTCGCGATGAAAAACGCAACAGTAAACTGCCTGTTTACGCGGCATCACGTGAAGAAGCTGTGACCGATTGGATCGCGTATCGAAGACAGCGGAAAATTGCCTCCAACCATCGGCTCGAGACCAGGTTTTTACTTTTTAATCCTTCTGCGTCAGCGAAACGCACATTGAAGTCGAAACTAGACCATGAAAGAAGGGCACGAACGTCTTTTAACTTTTAATTAGGGAAAAACAAGAAAAGATTGTTTCAGAAGGTTCAGAGGAATAGGTTTCATGAGAGTTTTGTAATTCGAATTAACAATTGCCTCGGGTGTGAGCTCGCTTTCGCTTTTAATTCTCTACTTGTAGAATAATTATTGGATTTGCAAGACTATAGAATAATTATTGATTCAACGCCTGGAATTAATATTAGAATTACAAAAGAAATCAAATTCATTGATTTTTTTTATTAAAAATATTAATCCTTATCTAATATGATTATGATATTAAATATTGGTTTATAACTTAAATGCATATTATGGATCGATAATATCATAATAAAATTAAAAAATTTGAAATAGTTAATTAAAATATTTTTTACTTTCAATTGATAAATTTAGAAGTTTCGCAACTCGTGTGCAAACAGAGTGAAGCAACACATTAGGGAGAAAGAGCCGACAGTTGCAGCATACATTTAGCTACCCGCAGGTGGTGTTGCATTATTTTTTTTTTTTATCACCATGTCGGTGTTTGCGTAACGAGACAGCGATCGAGCAACCGCATGTCGATTCATCTAGTCATCTCTACCAGTAGAAAGTTAATTCAAACATTAGTAAGTCTTGTACATTCGCGTTTCTATGGAAATTCCTTAAGAGTTAAATAGAAAAATTTAAAGGATATTTAATCGATCAAATCTTTAAAAGAAAGTAGATATTTTTAGAGATAGAGAAGAAATGATTTACACCTTTGATACCTCTCTATAATTTTGAATATGACCGCATCATGCATGACTAGACAGAACAATGAAAACCGCCTTCACAACGCGATTGTTCGTAGACTCGCGAGAGTCGGTTGTTCTCACATATCTGCAGTGATTTAACATAAAATCAGCCGAGAAATTAGTCATCGAGCAAAAGGTCACGACCGAGACAATGACTCACATCGATTCCCCTTTAGGATGAAGAAATGATCGATCGTGATCGAAACTGTTGACTAAACGTTTTGCATTAATTCTTCCATATATATATATATATGTTAAGAATATAAAAAAGCAAATGTACAATGCTATTTTTCTTTGGAAAAATTTCTTTTATAAAACTATCAGAACCAGGTCAAATATCGTGATAACCTACATGTACATTCGAGTTTAATGATTCAGCTCTTCTATATACTTGATATATAAAATTAAATAAATGATTAGGAATAAGTATATTTTTTTCAAAAAAAAATTTTCTGAAAAAAAAATATAACAAAATAATATAAGTAAGCAACATATATTGCTAAATATTGTTCAGATAATTTTTCTTTCCAAAAATATAAAAAAAGATAAATAAAAATAATAAAATATTCTATAAGATATAATTATGGAAATACCTTCATAATTTTAGATATAGTAGATACAATCCAACATTCGTTCATTGTTGCAATCAATTGTCCAAGAAGATTCGATTATATTATTTGTGAATGTTTTTTTTTTCAACTACTAATTTTCAATTCACAAAACATAGTTAATAGTGGAAAAAAATGTCATTATAAATTATAGCCTTTGAAAATAGATATCTCGTTAATCAAGCAACGAGTCAAGATGTCGAATAGCGACTTTAACAACTTGTCCCGGTATATTTATATCATTCGTACGTAGTCTTGGCAGACCCGATTTTTTCATTCACGTTGAAAGTTTTATGAGTTTGCAGTTCGATGATTTTATTTTTAAAATTTGAAATTTTTTGTATTTCAGCTGTTTTTTTTTTTTGAAGGATACCTAAAAAAATATATACATATTATTCTTAATATTTTAAATTAAATTAAAATTAATTGATTTTTTTTTTCTTAAAACTGAATGCTAATATTTTTTTCTAGTTTAACATATTATTTATAACTTACTTATTTACTTTATACATATATATTATTTCTATTCATATCTTTAAAAAAGTTGCACGAAAGGAAAGAAAGATTGGTGAAAAAGTTTCATCAAGATATTTCTATATCGTGCAAATGAGATCATTTCCGAAGTAGCGAAAGAAAACTGGCAAACAACTCTATATGCAACGTTCCATCGAGCATCAGAAGTGGAAACGACAGCATTATGACTTCCGATTCCCAGAAAGTGTCCCGAGATTTATAGAGTTATTGTGAGGGAGCTCGTTGTTGACCGAGTCGTTGACCCTGCAAAAAGGATTGATTAGATTCGAGAAATTCTATCCTCTATTTTATCCCCAAATATAAGCAACAATTATATTTCGAGTATGAAATTGAACAAGTCTTAAAAAAAAAAAAAGTACATACGATATAAAATCAGCTTTAGTATTTTTCTTCAGTTTTTTAAAAGATGAAAAATATTATATAAATTGATACAGATTGTAATCATCAAATTAAGATAAAACACGAGTACTTTATTTCTTAAGTAACAATACTATGTAATGGCATAGAATTAATTCATTATTATTTATCTTTGAAATAATTTTCTAACTTTTTTAAATTTCTTAATTAATTAAATGTTTATACGTATATTTAAGATTACTTTAAAATTTATAATTTCTTTCACTAACATTTCAATTTTACTGAATATTTTTAATTCAATAACAAATTTCGTTGAAAAATTGTACATTAGATATGTCTCTTAATACTTGTAAAACATATTGCTATCGAAAAACAATATTCAATGGCAATAAAAGTTTATTTACGCGGAGAAAAGAATCAGAATTTGCATACCGTGATTTGCGGGCGGTCATCGATTGACTCCTCGTACCGATAAGAACGAGGTCATGAAACGCATTTACCAGAAACTACGTGTATTTCATCTATTTTCTCGAGTTGCATTTGTTTCAGTGTTAATACAACATTCGTCGTGATCACATTTAAATATCCATTATTATTCCTTCATCGTGATCAATTACTTCTTTTTGTCTTTATCAATATCGTTATTATCGCTCTCTCCCTAGAAATTCGAGAATCATGAAGCAAAGGTAAAAATTTAAAAAAAAGAAAATATCGAATCAATTTGTTTGAACTAATATTTTGTCTATTCTTCTCTTTGTTGTTACTGTTGTTTGAAAAACTGGTTAAACGTTCCTTTAAATTAATAAAAACACACAAGTAGATGAATATAATGATAACAAACAAGAAATGATAATATATATTTGTGCTGTTGCACCGTTACAATTGCACGCATCGTCTGCGAAAAATCCGGATAGATTAGATTAGATTATACTTACATATATAAATACAACTTTTTTGATGATAAAATTTTTTAATACATTTCTCTCTTTCTCTTTCCATCTTTTTATTCTTGCTTCTTTCATCTTGCGATATTCTAAACAATTTAATAGATATTAGAAATAGTAATTAAAAAGAAAAGAAGATTATTACCATGAAAATTTTTTCACATTTAAAAAAATCTTCTCAATTTACGAGTATTATCTTTAAATATTATTCAATCTTTTAAAAATCATCAATCGATATTTTTACAAAGACATAAGAGAGATCTTCTAAATCTAAATATAAGGAAGAATGATATTATTCGAAATGAAAAAAAAATTGAATCTCATTCCTCACCTGAATGTATTGTATCTCGTCTGAATTTATTGGCGTATCGATAGCGGATGATGGAACGGTGAGGAGGTAGGAGAAGTTGCGTATAGCCAATGATAAACCGAAGGTGGACACTGTTAAGTCGTTCTTGAGTAGCGGCTGTTGGTGAACCTATTCTCCAGCGTGTTTCGATCTTCCCAGTGAACGTGTCAATTACGGTGTAGTTAGTGTGTAAATTGTACGATTACTAAAAATAAAATAATAATGGAATCAATGATGCTTGCTTTTAGCATCTGGAGGCTCGTTAATCTTCGATTAGCTGATCAATTTATTACTTGGAACGACTTAAATCACATGGTGTTCTTGATGAAGAAAAAAATTTTGAATCGGTTTTATTTCTTTCTTGAGAAAAATATCTATATATAGCAGAATAAATTGTGGATCGTACATTATTGATATATTTAAATGAGAAAAAAGGAAATGTTCAATAGAAATTGTTATTACGGTATTGAAAATATAAACTTAAATATATGATTTTATGAATAAGACGTACCTGAAAAGTCCATAATACGTAACATCCAATTAACAATTCATGACTCGATAAGAACTGAAGAACACAAGTGACGTGTTTCAAAAAATCGAGGTCGCGAGTTTTTTTTTTGCTTTCTGATCGCGAATATTTTCCGTTGGAAAAGCTCGAAACTAAAAATAATGTTCGTCAATGGAAGAACGGAAGGTCTTGAGTGATCGATTCGAAAAAAAATTTTGTCCTGATTTGATTGAAAAGGGCAAAGAACTTTTCATTTCATTTCATATTTGTTTTTCACGAATTTTGATACTATAATAAAAAACGATGCGAGTGAAAAAATGATACAAATTGAAAAGTTTCGCGGCGCCTAAACTCACAAAACCATATAATCATATAATGATCGAATCATTTGTGGATATCTTCATTTTTAATTGAACTTCGATAATAGTTAATCTCATATTGATAAGGGGGAGCATTTTGCAATAGAATTTTTACCAATAATATATGAACATCTCATACAATTTCTGTTATTTCTTTATTTTTTATTTGGACAATTCAATTACGAAACTTGTTACATTTTTGATCTGGACTAAGTTATAACAGAGCATGTCACTTAATTTACAATTTTGATGATTTTTTTATCAATATAATCAATAATAAGTATATCACTTTAATCTTGTACATTTTTTCTTCGATAATAATTTTTCCAAGAATCCAATTTTTTTTTATATAAAAATTCATTTTTTTGTTTACATAATAATAATAATATAATAATAACATTATATATTTTTACATTTTTTTTATAATTTATATAATAGCTTTGATTAAATAATCAAATATTTTAAAAATTTTCATAAATATAATACTATTTATTTCATTTAATTAAACGAGTCGTCCCATGTAATTATTTTCTTAACGATCTCTTTCCAAATAATTCTTCTTTCCAAATAGTTCTTACCATTGCGAAAGAATCTGTATTCTTAGAAGCATCCAAAACGGCAATGACCGCGATTTACAGTTCGCATTTATGGTAACGTGCCGTTGATTAATTGGTATAGTTTTCGAATATATCATATTCGATCTTATAATTTCTTTCATCACATTGCATCGATCGATTATTTGTTCTCATATTGGTCAACAATGTGAAATGACATCATATATCTTTTTTAGAATAAATTTCAAAGAATGTAAGACCTATCACAAAAGAATTGAAAAAAAGAATCTCACAAAGGAATTCGAAGCAATTAATCTTTTCTTTAGCTTTAATTGGTTCGACGATCAATTGGGTCATAAAATTGACTAACATTTACGTAATATTTCATTTTACCAAATGATATTTTTAAAAGAATACTCATATATAAAAATCTATCAAATCTAATCAAGACGATATATAAAAATCGATGTTATTAACAATATCTCGGTCCATCATTATCTTTATCGATCAATGTACAATACAAATCTCGTATTTGTACATATTTTCAATTTGTATTTATCAGAGAAAAAGAAATTCGATACAAGAATAAGAGAAAGAATATAAATATTGTGATAATAATAAAATATTTATTTTACGATTTTCGTGAAATGATAAATCATCGATAAGAATCAAAATATTTTTATCGATTTTAATCGATCAATTTTTATACGTTGGAAAACGATTTATATTGGAAAAATATTTATTTTATCAAAAATAATGATTGAAAATTGAATGAAAATGTCAATTTCAATTGATCATAGAAGATTATCGAGCGAAATCGAGATCGACTTTCCACGTAGGCCGCGTATCTTATCGCGAGATCTAACATTAGATTTCACAGGAAAGCACAACGAACAGCAGTTGCGAGAGCACCATCACTGATTCCGTGCTCTGCAGTAATCTGTGATTAATTAATTCTTTAATCCGTTTTTTTTTTTATTATTGCACAGAGTACAAGGACATTGAAGAAACATGGGGTGAGTTTTTTTTTGAGATTCGTTCATTATTTTTAAAAAAAAGATCTCATCGTTAATAATTATTCATAATCTTTTCCATTTTCTTCTTTTCCTTTTTTTGTATTCAAATAATTTATATCGATCTTGATTTGAACGAAAAAAATTTTATTTTGAATGAAGAAGATCTATAAAATTCCATCCCACGTGTAGTTAGATGTATAAATTCTTGTACATGACTGGCAAGATTCTAGAAGGGTGGTGCACATCCTGCTTTGCACAATACAGCTAAGTTTGGTTTAACCCCGAATGAGAAGGCTGGGATAAAAGCCCATTCTATTTCTTCTTACTCGATTGACAGTCGTCTACCTGAAACTTTCGGTGATATTTTAGTCTCTGAATTGAAGTTTGATCATAAGAATCGTTAGAGAGTGAGTTAAGTGTATTACTCGTTCGTAGATATTAAGGTTAATGTATATATAATATATGTTTTGTAACAATATTGAAATTGGAATACTGTTGTCTTCATTCGTTTAAAAGTAATTTTTGATTTAATTTTTATTATATTCATATTTGTGAAACTGATTTCGTTTTATTAAATGAAGTAGTAAAATTGTTGTTCTCCACATTACAACTTTTTATCGATTTCCTACCGTCTATCAACACTACTTCTATATCTAATCAGTGATTTTATCATCTGTAATTCTGTTAATTATCTCGCTATGCGAATTCGAAAATAATAAATTTTTAAGAAAAAAAAGGAGAATACATATTTATTTTCTATCAAAAACATATATATGTAGATGATCCTTAATTAAATATCCTTAATAAATAAGTGTGTATAATTATAATTGTATATAATGTAAATAAAAATCAATATCTGCATCTTTTTAATAATTATAAATACAAAAACTCTAAAGATCTAGTATTAAAAACATATTTCGATTAAATTAAAAAAAAAAATCTATAAAATTATGTAATTATTTTTATAAGAAAAAATTAATTGAATAATTTGATAACAATTTTTCAATATAAATTTGTCAATTCTTTAATCCTTTTGTGTTACATAGTGAGGTTCCCGAAGTTTCGGAAACAAGGAGAGAAATCAAATGATTTTTTTTGCTTGTCGATTTTTCCATCACGCATATCCGTGTCAATGCGACCACACACGGAAAATCGACACCGATCGCGTGAAGCACTGTCGAAGTTCAGGGTGTTGATTTCAGTTCCGGCGGTCGAACAATACTTGTAGTCCGCACTTTCTCGCGTTCAGTATCGAGTAACATCCACGAGAAATCGACGTATATACATCTTGACCACGACCAATTTCACGATTCCTTACCGTTGATCGATTATACATGGGATCAGGCAAGAACGATGGAAACATTGTTCAACAATAGATTTCTAAAACAATATATACAATCAATTTCTTAAAAAGTGTTCATTATCATTGTAACATTTTAAAAAATAAAAAAAATAAAAATGATAATTTAAAAAATTGATTAATATTTTCATTACTGTTAAAAAAATATTTGTCTAAATAAATATTTGAACTTCTTAAACAAAAATAAAAATTTGGACGGAAGAAATTCAAAGATAAAATTTCATAAAAATATTTAAAAACATATTTTTTTTTTAATATTCTATCTTCTTCTTTTCTTTTCTTTATTTTAATGAAATTTAAATTATCCATATCTTATTTATGCAAAATTTTATATATTGTTTTTAATTTGTTCCTGACTTATTTCAGCGAGAAAAGCGTATCCGATACTGGAGGTAATAAATATCAGAAAGACAAGGCTCCGAATATCCCCAAGAGTGGCCACGAGGTACGTAAAAACATGGAACGTGGTCTGCACGAGCGGGACCGTGTTGGTGTCCAGGACTTCGTTCTTCTGGAGGATTTCGAGAGCGAGGTGGCTTTTATCGATAATCTGCAAAAGCGTTTCAATGAGAATCTAATCTATGTAAGTAAAAGATATTTTTTATTAAACAGTTGTTCTTAAAAGAATCTGAAAGCATGGTTCTGCTTTCTTACTGTCAAACATAAATGTATATCTATAAATAAAAATAAAAAATATACATAATATAAATTATATAAATTTGATTTTTGAGATTTATTTATAGAAATATATTAAAAATTTTATTTAATTCGATATCGAGAATCAATAAAGTTAAATTTATAGAACTTTTTTTTTATCTTGTTTAAATTTAAATAGGTAGGAAGTAATGTCTTGATAAGCATTTATTTGTTAGATTATTGTTCGCAAACTTATTATCAGTTCGTTCAAGGAACAACGTTTTGGATAAAGATTGTTGATAAAGATTATAAAATAAAATGAAGCATTATTTAAAAAATGAAGAGATTTAAAAATATAAGATAATATTTATCTAACATTCCATAGATAAATTTTTTCAACTTATTTTGAATTTTTTATTTCTAAAATTAATTTTAGATTTACAACTATATGCAGAAAATATACTAATTCAATTATTTGTACTTCAAATATATTTTTAAAAATATATAATTCAATTTAGTAAGATAATTTAATTCATTAATAAATTGCTTTTCTATACTTATAACAATTTTATTTTTTATTTCTGTATTCAAATTTTTCTCCTTTCTATCTTTCAGACATACATTGGTCAAGTGCTGATATCAGT